GTTGAATTTAGGATAAATATATTGTCAATCAACATTTGACATCACAAGCTAATCTATGGAGTATCAATCTAATGAATGATGCAAATGGAAATTAACAGTTATTGTAGAGACATCCAAATAACATACAACAATAATAAAAATATTCTATTTTAGAATACATTGTGTATCCGCTTTCTCCATATGCAATAATTAAGTCAGTTTTCCGAGTCATTTAGTTCATACAAAGTTACTACAAGTATAAACTCAGAATTACACAAATAGTGCTGGCGTATACCATACGATTAAAGCGAGGACGTCGTCACCTGCGCATGCATCAGATGGCCAGCCAAAGAGTGTCATTGTTTACAAACAAGCGTCTACCCATGAGCCTTTGTGTTTTTAGCATGTGTTGTTATCGTCGACTGGGACTCAATTCCAGCGTGTGCGCAGGTGACGACCCTCTCACTTTAAGTGAGTGTAGTGAATGACCTCCCATTTTGTTCCGCAGACAGTAATGTGAACTGGACTTCCACCTTTGGACTGCCTGAATATCAGATAGTTGACTGGTCAGATAGTTCATTGACATGTATTAATATGTATGGTCAATGGAAAACTCACGTTTCAATTATACAATCTATTTGGCATGGGCAAATGTTAATCAGGTTCATGTTCAACAATACAATATGTTGACCTTTGTCATGTAAACATTAACAGCAACAAAAATAATCTTTTGTTTTTTATTTGATATTTATTCTGAGATTATTATTACATATATTGCATTTTATGAAAATGCAGGTGGTCATTACAGAAATTAGTATGCTAACTGAGGTGTACATTCATGACAGATGTACATACTATAACAGTCACATGTGCACACAAGGGTATTTCAAACGCAGCATGTATTTGGGATGTATGCCAGCTATATTTGATGCAGCATCTATGTAAGAAGGAATGGCATTATCTATGACAGTTGCACAGATATTTCAACCAAAGAAATCAAACTCTAGTCGTGTAATAACTGTTCACGAACGATCAATCTTTTATAGAGCAGATTATAGTATTGATGTCAAAGGGGTGGGCCATTTGAAACTCTGGGAGGGGCGATGTCACTTTTTTTCTTCACTTAGTTTTGTGCTAATTTTTGTTTCCATAATGATTTTACCGTAATATTTTTTGCACTATGTGAAATAATTTTAATATTTTTCTCAGGAATTTTCCTTTGCAAAATGTTTGGTTTCAATCCTGCCACTCCGAGCTGAGTTAAATGGTCAACCCCTAATCTTTTAAATGACTTCCGGGTGTTGAAAAACAAATGCTCGTAGCCACATTCTTACCTGAGAGCATTCACTGGTGGGTTGTTGATGGCGATAACAGCCACGGAACCAACTTTACGGTAGTCTGCCATTGCACCTGTTTCCCCGAAGATCGGGGAGGAAGAGAGCACACAACCAACGCTGTTTTGCAGACGTCAGAAGCAAAAGCACGAAGGTCGTTCAGAGCGCCCTCTATAAATAAATAAAAGGTCAAAAGTCAAAGTTCTTTGATACTGCAAGACGGGAGACGATAACACCTACGACATCGGCGATACTGCTTTATTTTACGTACCAACATTTGTGTCTTTGATCTGACTGCCAAAGAGACGTGATTTACTTGGTATGTGCTGTGTATGATTTGTGTATTTGTACGCCGAGTTCGGTTGAAGTGATCAGGTCTGCCAGCTGAGCTGGTCAGTGATCGATCGTGACAACAAACACTAAAACCAGCAGCAGCCTTGGACATGGCTTCAGTAAAACAGTTTGCAAAGGAAGTCATCAGTTTCAGTTCTCAATACGGAAGTGAAACGAGTTTATCTTACATTGCGGCTAATCTTGCAGGAAGTACAAATATTCACCCTAATTATGGAGATTTCACTCAGGCGCTTGTATTTGTAAGTATAAACATGGAATTATTATTTAATAATTAAGGTAGCAACGAAGTAAAACTTGTAAAAAATAATCTGTGCTTATGAAATTATCTAAAACATGCTACTACAACAATCAATATATCACCTGAAAGATTATATATATATATATAGATACGCAAATATGTTAGTAATATGATGTACGGACATACAATTTAATTTTGTTTTTGTTTATTTCGACACATTGCTTTTTAACGCTTTCAGTTGGAGAACGTACGTCCGGCACAGGAGTTCATAACACTGCATGATACAGCATCATGTTTCATTTTATCTTTATCTTTCTTTATTTTTTTTTACTAACTACCGATATAACTAAATAACTGCAGGCTCGCTCATAACAGTCTGTTGTCATAGCTACAAACAAACTTACTTTTATTCCTTTATTACTGTAGACTGATAGAAAGATTGTACTTCTAAGGATGCAATAAAGATTATTATTATAATTATTATTATTATTATTATTATTATTATTATTATTATTGTCTAGTCATTTAGTCGTACAAAACAAAGGAGGATAAAGAAAAACCAAGATGTGATATTATCTAGCATATGTGTTACAAACATCCTGTGCAATTCACAGGTCATTTGTGTGATTGAAAATGATTGAAAATGTTTGAAATAGTAAAATAGTTCTTATAGTACATGTAACATGCTTAGTAATTTTTAGAGAATGACTAAATCACAAATCAATTTT